GAGCACAAATAGTAAGCATTTCAACCCACCATAATTCTTGAACAACATTTTGTAAAAATGCAATTATGTCCTGCTTATATCCAAAAAAACATCACAAACAGCAGAACACAAGTTGAACGTAACGGCGAACTGGGTACATTTCACGGGTCATAAAATTCAATTGAAAATGCAGGTATAAAATTTACCAAATTATCGTTCTCAAAAACATATTTCCTTAACATATCGATAATTTTCCACGCCAAATTCCCCTATACTTGACTGGAGTGATATCCGAATTCTTTCTTCCCTACTGTCGGCAGTTGCAGATAGATCTGTTGGCTCTTGGTGTCAAATCTATAGAGCAGGTACCGATTTTTTCAAATCATGAGCACATTATTCGTCGGATTTTCGTTACTTAAATTTCCTGTAATCACTGGGATCAGAAGCTTCTTAATACTAGAACGTGTTTCACTGATATCAAAATAGAATCACCTTCCCCCAACCCCCACTTTTTAAGCAGTACAATTTTTTTCTGTCAATGATAAGGAACATCAAAAACGGAATTTCAGCAATTGTTACTTTTCCTTTTTTGCCTATAGCACCGTTGCCACTGGACCAAAACTACAAAGCTTCGGCATACTAGTAACCCCGTGTGGAAATTTCATAAAAATCCGAGCGGTTATTTCCAAGTTGACGAGTGATACAGTTTTCCATATGACTTAAAAAAACATATCTCATTTTAGAAATTTTTCGTGATTACAGTATTTCCTCGTCAATGACGTGGGAAGTAAAACGGCTTTAAAATCGAGGAGTATCAGCGATCGCGATTATGAGTACCTATTTGCAGAACGACTTATCTATGCGATATTATATGAAATAGGGCCACCAAATTATCTGAATAGTCCGTACATTGCGCCGCAACGCTTGGGTTGGCAGCACGAAACAGTAGACAAAATTCGTCCAAAAGACGATTTGTAGAGGTTTGCGCGCTTCGAAATTGACGCTTTATTTTTTGATATTTTTGGATGAAATTTTCAGAGTGCTGAAAACAAAACCCCACAGGGTGCTATATAGCCACTTTTTCATTTTTTTTTTTTTTTAAATCGCTAAGTTGAACAGAAAAAGTACGCATTTCAACCCATCATAAAACTTGTGCAAAAAGAAAATTTCAAAAAATGCTCCTATAGCACCCTGGGCAATTATCTTCTCAACATACTGTATGAATTTCATTCAAAAATATTGGAAAAATGGAGTTCTCCCTGCATACATTCGTCAGAAAATTTCTGACAAAAGAGCTGCAATTAAGCAAGCGAAGAGGTCTTGTCACCCAGATGACATTCACAGAGCAACTAGTCTTGTTCATGAAGTGAGAAATGCTCTTCATGAATTCCGTAATGAGCAATGGAGCGACTTTCTGTCGAGGATGCTTGGCTCAAGTATTCCTCTCTGGAAAGTTACAAAGTCGCTCAGAAACCGAAAGCGAGAACAACTCCCGCACATCCACGGTCCTAGGGGCTTAGTCTGTAGGACAGAGGAAAAGATCGAGGTTTTCGCTGATGGAATGGAAAGTCAGTTCTCTTCCCACTATGACCTTGATAATGACCTCGATGTAAGATCCGTCAGGAGATATTTTAGGGCCAACCGCGTCAGTGGAAGTAGTGCCTCCCTTAGTGATTTTTCCTCAATTGAAGAGCTGCACGGCACATCAGCGGAATCTCCTGAGACTCTGCATTGCACACCAGCAGAGCTCCAAGGTCATATTAAAGACCTCAAGGTGCGTAAAGCACCTGAAGAGGATCGAATCACTAATAAGGCGCTGAAGCTACCTTCGCGGAAGTCCTTAACTTATCTCGTTGCAATAATCAATGCCACGCTAAGGACCCAGCACTTCCCAACGGCGTGGAAGACCGCTGATGTCATAATAATTCCAAAGAAGGTGGGTTCGATATTCCCCCAAGATTACCGCCCCATTAGTCTACTGTCAGCTCCTTCTAAACTCGCTGAAAAGGTAATTCTACGTCACCTTGAAAATTTCTCGGCAGACCACAATGTGATTCCTGACGTGCAATTTGGCTTTCGGTCTGAGCATAGTACGGAGCTACAGGCCATAAGGCTTGTTGAACGAGTAACCAGGGGGTTCACCCGTAACGAAAGTACTGGCATCTTGCTACTGGATGTCTCAAAGGCATTTGACCAGGTGTGGCACAAGGGCCTGCTCTACAAATTGATCCATAAGGGCTTCCCTTTCTGGCTCCTAAAACTTTTGAAATCCTTTCTCGAGGGTAGGAAATTTCGGATCAAAATTAATAACATTCTGTCGACAACACGGCCCACCAAAGCCGGTCTCCCTCAGGGTTCGGTTCTTGGACCAGTCCTTTATTCACCTTTTATTCATGACGTCGCTTGCCCCAGCAACTGTGAAATCTATCTCTATGCTAATGACACTGCCCTGGTGGCCTAGTCGTGCTCTGAGGATCTAGTTCACAACAGGCTGCAAAGTGCAGTGGACGAGGTATTGGAATGGGCTAATCGGTGGCTGATCAAAATTAATCATTCGAAAACGCAGGCAATCTATTGTACTAAAAAACGTAGCGGCGTCCCGTCTGAGGTTTCAGTGAATGGAGCTCGGGTACCATGGGAAAGCTCTGCTAAGTATCTCGGTGTCACTCTTGACAAGGGGATAACCTGGCAGAAGCACACTGAAGCGTTAAAAACTAAATTCCAAATCTCGTTTCGGCAACTCTACCCTATGCTATGTAGAACATCAAAATTAAGTTTGATCAACAAAGTTCGGCTATACAAGATGGTTATTAGACCAGCGATCACTTACGCAAGTGCGGCTTGGTGTTTTCCCGTCAAAACGCATTTGCTTAGCCTGCAGGTGTTGCAGAACAGAACCTTGCATACAATCACTAACGCCCCATGGTATGTTTCCAACGAGGCCCTTCACAGAGACCTTGACATCCCTTACCTAAGGGACTACATCAAACAACAAGCGCAGCTACGTTACGGTCAAGCAGAATCGCATAACAACCCTTTGTTGCGCGAGTCAGTAGACTACACAGTCGAGCAAGTTCGCAAGCACTGTGAACAAAATTAAATCGTGCGACTTTAGGTCCAACCTAAATTATAATTTTTCTTCAACAACCAATCCCAAAATTAATTTTAGCATCAATTTAAAATTGCCGAATACTAACTAGCAATGCCAAGGCACCCCTCAAATTGATGCACTTCTTTTTTCTTCGCTCTCCCTCCTTCCTTCCTTCCTTTCTTCTTCCCTTCTTTCTCTCTGACTTTGTTTGGTATTTGGGCAACCAGACTTGACAGACCTACTGACTTACAAGACTTCAATCAAAAGCAAAGTTCCTACGGACCGCTCTGACAGACAATGACGAATAGTATAAAATGGAGTGTCAGTTTTGATGCTGCTGAACCCTTGTAAATGGGTTGAAACTCACTGCGTCGGAACCGCCTTAAGTATTTTAATTTACCATCAGCTTTGCGGCCCGTTAAGCATAGTGATGAACTTTCTGCCCCAGTTCGACCAGAATCTGGGCCTTGTATGAAAAAGTAATGGTACAGAGAGCGTAAAAATTTCCGATCCTTCGTTTGGCCTACCAGGATGTTCAACAGCGCCGCATTTGATCACAGGACGAACTTAATGTCTTAGAGAATTAGATTTGTCAAAATCCCAGTAAGAGCTTTTAGCGTCAAGATTAAAAGGATGGAATCTTCTCCACGGTGATGTTAACATTACTTTTCACCGAAAACGGCAACAAGACCTCACACACTGTTTCTGTCAAGAAAGGGAGTTGATATATTGCTTCGATGTCAACAATATGTTTGACGCGATAGGACAGAAACATGATCCAAGTGATTAGTGCCTGTTCATTGATTCCTCTAAGCTTAGTTTAAAAGCAGTATTGGTACACAATGGTAATAAATATCCATCTGTACCTATAGCGCACGTAGTTCATATGAAGGAATGATATGAAAATATGCGAGTTCTGTTAGAGCATATCCGTTATAATAAATATGGATAGGTCATATGTGAAGATTTGAAGGCAATAGCTCTACTTCTTGGAATGCAACTGGGATATATAAAATATTGTTGTTTTCTTTGTGAATGGGACAGTCGAGCGCGAGATCGTCATCATAAACAGAAGGAGTCGCCACTACGGCAGGTATCAACTCCGGGCCTCAAAAACATTGCTCATGAACCACTAGTTGATCCCAAAAACGTGTTGCTTCCACCTTTGCATATTAAGTTGGGACTGAAAATTTTGTGAAAGCTATGGATCGAAATGGAAGAAGGTTTCTGCATTTAAAAGAAACATTTCCGAGACTTAGTGAGGCAAAAATTAAAGAGGGCATATTTGTGGGTCCACAAATACGGAAAATCATGAAGGATCATGTATTTGATTGTGCTCTAAATGAAACTGAATTACGAGCTTGGAATACTTTTACTTCAGTTACTGCACATTTTTTGTGCAATGTGAAGGCGGACAATTATAAAGATATTGTGAGTTTACTTACAAAGGAACGGGAGGTAGCATGTCTCTAAAAATTCACTTTTTGGATTCTCATCTCGATTTTTTCCGGAAAATTTCGGCGCGGTAAGTGATGAACATGGTGAATGGTTCCACCAGGACATTTCTGCTATGGAAAAACGGTATCAAGGCAAATTGAGTGTCAATTTGCTTGCTGATTATTGCTGGACATTGTTAAGAGTTACTTCAGGAGCAACATGTCGCCGTAAAACATCGACAACATTCTAAGATTAATGTTTATTCGAGTGTTTATTAGTACTCTTACAAACACATCCTTATATTTATAGCAGCAAATAAAATGCCTTGTTGCAAGAAAACCGTGGGTGAAAAAAAATGGAATGCTATTTCCTGCTTTTTGGGTACGTTCTACATAATAACCACGTTGTTTCGTCCAAGTCACAAAAAATTATTTTAATTTTTTTCACCAGTGTAATAGGTGGTATAGGGTGGAAAAAAACTATTTTGGCTTACCTGTATATTCCACTCCACTAACACTTAATTGGATTTTGTCCAATTTTTTTAATCGTTCTTGAGTGCTGCACTTTTCCATGTTTCTTGAATTTGATATGACTCTAGAAACCAAAACAATTTGAACTTGAACTTCTAGATAGGTGAGCATGCAATGATATCGGATAATTTTATACAGCAACACTTATTTGTACAATGTTGCAAATCTAGGCGGCAATATTTTCCATCCATAGTCGCGCAGATGGATATTGCAGAAGGTGGCAACCGCAAGAAAATGTAATATACCAAAAATGTTCCCTTACAAAAACTCGGAGTGTTGAAGTTTTAGGAAAAAAATTGAAATCAATTAATATTTTCAGAACCGCTTCACATATTTCACTGATATTTAGTACGTAGTGAAAGTTGATAAAGTTGCATATTTTCCAATGCAAAAATAATTTTTAGCTTCAACAGTGGCGTGCGTACGGGTATTGACTTCGATATTTTTTAAGAAACAAATGGTACACCAATGGTCTTTTGCCAAATAAAAATTATTTTTGAATTCCACGTTTAATTTAATACAAATGATCTCTCTTGAATTGTTTTCCTTTGATGCGCGATTTTTGAGTAAAAAAGTAAAAACCGTTCTATTGCAAAATTATTATTAATCTAATTGGGAAAATTAAACACATTAGGGGTAATGAACAAGAACAACTAACAACTTAAATACAACATTAAAACCTACGAAATGATCACAAAAATTGTTGAAAATGGCCCCCAGGGGTGTTTTTTATTCTATCAAAATTTGCAACTATTCTTTCTCTTAATTCCTCTACAGTGTTAATGGGACTTGTTTGTAAATAATTACGAACCGCTACACTGAAATGCGCTGGTGCACCATCATGCATGTACCACATATTGTTTCTTATTATTCAATTGTTGTTGAAGAAAATTGGGGTAAGTCTGTCGTGTTGGAAATGGGTTTCGGTTATGGCACAGCGATTTTCTTCAGCCCACAAATGATTATTGTGGAAATTCTGAAGGGCATTTCGAGAGAAATTAGCTTCATCCGTGAACAGAATCATTGATTCAAATTGCGGGTTTTGTGTAATTTTTTGAAGATACCACTGAAAAAAGGTCATACGCGTTAGAAAATCAATGGGAAGTAATGCCTGTACTCTTAAAATATGGTAAGAATATAACAACAAATCCACTAAAATTCTCTAAACAATTTGATGGCAAATATTTAGGTATCTAGCGATCTTCCTCGTACTCGTCTCAGGATGTTCTTCGACTTCGTGCCGCACTGCTTCCTCAATTTCAGGTGTTCTCACACTTAGAGGTCTACCTTCAGATGTTCCTTTTCGGACAGAACCAGTTTCAACAAGACGAGGATGAATATTAGAAAAGGTTCTACTATCTGGCAAAGCACGATCGGGATATCTCTGGTAATAAATCCGTCTGGATTGCTCACCATTACGAGTACGTAATGCATTACCGGCATTTCTGCATTTAAATAGTTCACCATTATTAACAAGATCGTAAAAACTAAATAATGAAGAACATGTCACAGTGAACATATTTCAAAAACAGAGACTTGTCAGACGTCAAAAGCCAGTGACATATTCCAATGCAACTAGATATTTATTATTAAATTGCATTCTTCAATTACTACATTAATTTTCTCGGACAAATAGAACGGTTTTTATTTTTTTACTCAAAAATGGCGCATCGAAGGAAAGCAGCTCAAGTGAGATCTTTTGTTTTAAATTGAACTGGGAGCGCAGGATTTCCATGGTATACGAAGTCCATTCATTGAAACTTCAGACGGAACACCGCGACGTCTTTTTGTACAGTAGATTGCCTGCGTTTTCGAATGGTTATTTTTAATAAGCCACCGATCCGCCTAATCTAATACTTCCTCCACTGCACTTTGCAGCCTGTCGTGGACTAGGTCACCAGACCACGTCTAAGTAACCAATGCAGTATCGTCAACATAGAGATATACTTGACAGTTGCTGGGGCTAGGGACGTCATGGATGTGCAGTGAGCAAAGGATAGGTCCAAGGACCGGACCCTGAGGGACGCCGGCTATAATCAGTCGTTTTGTCGACAGGACAATGACAATTTTGATCCGAAACGTCCTACCTTCAAGGAAGGATTTCAGTAGTTTTAGAAGCCAAAAATGGAAGCTCTTTTGGATTAGTTTATTCAGGAGGCCTTCGTGCCATACCTTCTCAAATGCTTTTGAGACATCCAAAAGCAAGATGCCAGTACTTTAGTTAAGGGTGAATCCTCTGGTTACTCGTTCCACCAGCCTATCCACCTATAGCTCCGTACTATGTTCAGACCGAAAACCCTACTGCACGTCAGGAATTACATGGTGATCTGACGAGAAATTCTCACGGTGATGTAGAATCACCTTTTCAGCGAGCAATAGATGGAGCTGACAGCAGGCTAATGGGACGATAATCCTGAGGAAATATCGAACCCACCTTCTTTGGAATCATTATAACTTCAGCGGTCTTCAATGCGGATGGGAAGTACTGGATCCTTAGCATGGCATTGACAATTGCCATCAGGACCGTGGATGTGTGAGATTTGTTCACGTTTTCCGTTTTTGAGCGACTTCGCCACCTTCCAGAGAGGAATGCTTGAGTCAAGCATCCCCGCCAGAAAGTCGTTCCATTGCTCATTGAGGAATTTATGAAGAGCATTTCTTACTTCATGTACAAGATTCGTCGCTATGCGAATGTCGTCAGAATGACAAGACCTTTTCGCTTGCTTAATTGCAGCCCTTTTATCAGAAATCTTCTGACGGATGTCTGCTGGCAGAAAAGGTCTGCCGTGTCACTGCACGGGAAGTACAGCTGCACGTTGCAGAGCTTGCTGAACAAAACTTGTCTTCTCCGCTTGAGCCGCGTCTAACCGTTCTCATCATCTACAGTATATTCAGATAAGAGATAGACCGGACATAAACAAGACCACGTGATCATCGAACGCTGTAACATTCGGCAGGGACGTATTAAGAGTCACGCAGTACATATTTTAGATAGTAGATGCTGCTTTGCGTAACTTTGTAGTAAATTAGCACAATTCGATGTGTATACGATTGGTGATGGATATAGGATCATGTGGGGGTGGGGTAAGAAATATATAATGATGTAAATATACATAAGGGTTTCAAAATTTTCGCTTCGATTTCCAGCTTCGGATGCCGCCTGATGTTTGGTGAAATACAGTCGAATATAATCTCAAAATGGCATTTAAATTAGCCTAAATTAAAAATAATCGTATATCTCTTAAAATTGCTTTTAGAATATTGATTAGTATATTTTTTGATTTCTAGGTAAATATGTAACCAAATTAAAACGTTCAAAACGTAAAAAAATGTGCATGGTTGAACATTGTCAGAAAGTAGATTCTTGAATAGGTTTTGCCAAAATGGGTTCAAAAATGTCAATAATTAATTAAAAAATACAGTAGCTTTATAATTACTTATAACTTACCGAATTTAATGAACGACATCTTTTATTGGAAAGATGAGCTTGATGAGCTTTCATCATCGCTACTGCCTGAAGCACCAACATCAATAATGAATGGCTCGACTTGTTCCTCTAAAATATTGTCCAGTTCCCACATTCTCTTTTCAACTTTGTCTTTCACGTGCTTAATACAGTTTTCCCATTTTTGTGCTGTTATTAATTCTAGTGCTTCTTTGAAAAGTCCTTTGAGGTCACAAAATTTAAAAGTTGTATTGTGCTTAGCTATATAATTTTTAACCTCTGCCCATATGAGCCCAATGGGATTGAGCTCGCAATGGTATGGAGGTAAACGGAGCACAGTTTTATTTTGACTTGCTGCCATTTCGTCAATGGCGTATTTTTGATATTCCGCCTTGTGATCCTTGACAATTCTTAATAATTGTACTTTCAGCATTGCTTCTTCAAAGTTGATATTTTTCGAGCGGAGCCAATTTTGAACATCAACTTTCCTTGAAGCCGTTGTTGGGACCTTCTCCATTCTTCGAGAATGATAAGGCGCATTATCCAACACAATTACTGCGTTTTCCTCTAAGTTCGGTAAAATTTTTGAAAACCACTGTTCAAACGATTCGCCATTCATTTCCTCGTGGTAATCTCCAGTTTTCTTAGACTCAAAGCACCGCAGACCGTCAACAACAAATCCATCCTCACTGCCAATATGGCAGATAATGAGCCTTTTCCCTTTACCTGGAAATCGAAGTACTAACTGGTGTAGATTTATTTCAATAAGCGAACCTTTTTCAAATGTTTTCATCACATTCAGCGAAAAAACATTGAGACATGAGTATCAGATTGCCATAATTGGGATTATTTAGTCATATTGAAAGAAAGAATATTGAACGTCGTATGATTACTCAGCGCTTCACAATTTAATTTAAAGTTATAAACCTTTAAAAAATGAATGATCAGGAACCTGAAATACGCGCAAATATCAATATTAACAAATTATAACTTTATAAAGCTTAAAGTATGAATTAAAATGATTAGAAATATTAGGAACGGTACACAATATAAAACTTAGTAACTTTTTTTAAGTTTATAATATTCGACATATTTTAAGATTATATTAAAAAATTATTGAAATATCGAAAACACATAAAAACATGGCTTAAAAAAGTTCTAACAAATGAAAATGACAATAAAACATCCACGCATTTTATCGAAAGTTATAAAAGTTTTGTTACTTGTAATATGTTTTATCTGCCCCCTGGAATTAATGTTTAGAACCTTGTTCCCAAGGTTTGAAAAACATCCGATTGTTGTCTATTACTCGTATTTACCTGCTGGATTTTTTAATCCGGTGGACAGTCCATCTAGAAAGGCCCTCCTGGATGAAGTTACAGAATCATCAACCCATACTTTACTTGTAGTGTGTCCTGCGTTTACCCACGTTTCATCAAGGTAATAAATCTTCCTGTTTTGATTTCTATATTTCCCAATTTTTGTTAAATAATCCCTCCTCCATAGCACAATTTCTTCTCTATCCAGTAGTAAACTATTACGACCCCGTTTTTTCCATTTGAAATTTAAATGCTTCAGTAACGCATGGAAAGTTGATCGTTTGAAATTTGGCAACGTTGTATCTCCATTTACCTCCTGCAGTACTTTATCTATAGTAGG